GAATTGACTTGATGGCAGTGGGTCTGTTTTTTTTTTCTTCTATTTATAGGTAGTAGAAGACAGGCACAGCATCTCAAAAATCCTCTAATTCAAATACCAAAACAGCATTTGAGATACCTTTTTTTTTTTTCCTGGCAACATTAATAAAGCTACATAAATGCTTTTGTTCTGGTTACCTAGTGCCGCTCTGACAGGAATCACACCACAAATGGGATGGTCTTAACAAACAGGAGTTTATTCTTACAACTTGGAGGCTTTAAGTCCAAATTCAAAGTGCCAGGCTCCCGGGGCTGCATGAAAGCCCCTCAACCTTGGAGTCTAGCTCTGCCTCCTGCTCCCGGCCCACTGGAGCTAGAGGCGTTTCTTCACTCACACAGCTGCTGGCTGCTGAGGCTGAGAAGCCCCAAGTTTGACAAGTAAAAAGGCACAGTCCCTATGCTACCAAACCACATGGCAGGCCATTAACTAAGTGCATTGTAAGTCCCAAGGTCGGCAGAGCATGGCAGGCTGCTGAGCAACACACAGCTACATGCAGGGCACAAGCGTGCCAAAGGCTAGAGACCATTCCCAAAGCTCCTGCTTATATACGGGAAGCAGACCACATCCCAAAGGCAGCTACTCAGCTGCTTGTGGTAGATCCCACCATGGAGTTGATTGCCAGTCTCATCATAGGGAATAACTACCACCAGCTGCCCAGCCACTCAACCAGGCCCAGCCAAGTTGACACAAAAATATAACCACCACAGCTTTGAATAAAATCTAGCTAATATTTAAAGTGGAGTCTTTAGGTGGTAGAAATAGTTAACACACTCATTGCTTAACAAAAAGTTTGGAGGTTTGAGTCCACCCAGAGGTGCCTCAGAAGAAAGTCCTGGCAATCTTCTCTGAAAACTCAGCCATTGAAAACCCTGTGGAACCCAGTTCTACTCTGACACACATCGGTCACCATGAGTTGGAGCTGACACAACATTAAATGGTTAATATTAAAAATAAGAAGATGAGAATTTTATTCTCAGCTTAGCAACTAACTCTTTTAGAGACCTTTTTCTTTTTCTAAAAATGGAACCTGACCACAATGCACTTGTTTTAAGGTGTTTTTTCCAGTTGGTCCAGTGGTTCATCAGGTGAAATGAACTCTGCTAGGGTTGGAAAGATCAACATGGCAGACATTGGAGAAGCAGCTGGGGGCTTTCTAGCATGTTTCTTAGACTACACACCCTCACAAGTCTCTGAGGCAGAGTGACCAGGTCTCTCATTAGAGCAATTTTCTGACTTTTAGCCACAACAGTTTGGTCAGATCACTTGACAGAGCTGTACACCCCTAAATTATTGCAGATGTTTATGGACAGCAGAAAGGCAAATAGAACATTTTTACATATTTGTCCTTTGGGAAAGATTAAGAGCTATGGATCTCTTCCAGAATGTAACAGATTTGGATGGACTTCACGCCTTGCTGATTTCTTGTTTTGTTTCCTGTGCAACCTTGCTTGGGGAGAGGAGACGTAGAAGGGGATCAGAAAACCTATTGCAAGCTTCAGCAAAGAAGTGAAACCTGTAACTGTCATCAGGGAAATGTGTTTGCCAACAAACTAGTGTTTAATGGGTAACATAAGCCCTTCCTTCTTTAATACCTTCCTTCCCCAAAAACACATTAGATGTGATGGGTGTGAGTAAACCCAGACTCAAGTTTCAGCTCAATAAAGGAGGTAACTAATTGCCTTTCTCATGGTTTCATTCGATAAAAGTTTATCATGTCCTTTCGATATTTAAGTTACTGTTGTAGGCACTGATGAATCATATCCTTGTTCTCAGAGAGTTTACAGTTAAATAGGGGAAATAAGATCCAAAAAGTAAGTTAGCATTGTATGCGTGTATTTTGTGAACTAAAGATTTGTAAAATATGCCTTAGTAGCATGACAATAAGGATTCCAAACCATAGTTGGGAGTTGAATTTGCCTTAATGCCAGGAACTTACCTGTTTGAAAACCTCTACTGGGTAAATGTAAACCATCTTAGCATGACATGCGGGTCCTCAAAAATCCTGTGCCTAATAACCTGCTTTCCAGCCATTTTTAATATTAACCAGATATATACCATCTATTCTGATTGACCTCTTCAGTTCATATTATATGGCCTCCGTGACTTTCCTATATTCTAGTGAGGACAATATGGTATTTGCAAAAACGGCATAGAGGCCACATGTTCCGACCTCCTCTAACCTCAACAATGCGTGTCTCTTGTGTCTCTTTTCCAGCAACATGTATCTCAGGAGCCCGTGTCTCTTTCAGCAGCATGTTTTCCTCAACCAGCAGTCAGAGAGAGTTCTGCCTCTAGGAGGCCTCCTTTTGAGCCTGGCAGGGTGGTCAAATTAGCCAATCATAGCATCAGAACTCTAAGCACCTGAGAGAGAGTGGGCACCTCCCAGAACATTGTTTTGTGCCACTCCCAACAGAAATAGTCCAGGTGGACAACTTCAGTAATCAGGAGCTCCTCAGTTGCTCACAGAAAATCCCACCTTGGAGTTTACAAAGACTTATGGGTAGAAAAGCCACACTAAGTAATTTACTACACTGCAATATTCCTGTCCTTTTCTCCATGCAGGACCACCCCAAGAGCCTAGCTTTACACCAGAGCCCACAGGGAACCTTCTTTCTTCTGAAATTTAGAATTTGCTGTCTTAATTGGCATGGTCAAGAACTGCCCCATATAACAGTTGTCTTCTTACATGCACATTGTATTGCAGGCAAGATAAGAAGTATACCTCTCCCTTTTTTTCTTTTTTTTGGTATAAGAACTGTGTCTCATCGTCTCATCGTTTCTTGTATCTTCTACAGTACTTTAGGAGCTCTGGTAGCGTAGTGCCTAAGGCACTTGACTGCTAACCAGAAAGCTGGCGGTTCAAACCCACCAGCCACTCCTTGGAAGGAAGGTTGGGCATTCCTACTTCCGTAGTGATACTACCTCGGAAACCCAAGGAGAGGTCGCTATGAGTCGGGGCTGACTCGATGGCAAATAGCAACAACAACTACAGTACTTTAAGAGCCCTGGTGGCATAGTGGTTAAGTGCTTGGCTGCTAATGAAAGGTTGGCAGTTCAGACCCACCAGTCGCTCCATGGGAGAAAAGACCTGACTATCTGTTTCTGTCAAGGTGACAGCCTAGGAAACTCTGTGGGGCATTTCTGCGGTGTTCTATAGGGTCGCTATGATTCAGAATTGACATGACAGTGCACAGCAACAACAAGCAATGCATGTATCAGAAGCTCCATAAATGCCTTGAGCTTATTGATTATTAATTAATAAGTCTTTGCCTCACCACTTAGATTGTAACAGTTCAGTTACTTAGATTTACTGATTTAAAGAATAAGAAATGGAGTTTTTCTTTCTGGCTAGTCGTTCCAACCTAGGATTCACAAACCTCATCATCACTGTTTAGTTCCTGTGAAAAAGGACCTTTCTGGGAGGAGTTATGGTATCACCCAATATCCATGTGGTTCTGTGTCACTATATAAATAAACTTAAAGTATTGATATGGTTTTTCCCAGGGGTACCAAGAGATAGGGCTTGATTCCATTGCTGTTGGTAGTCTTCCCCGCTGTGTACACATTTTGGAATGACATACCTTCCGGTTAGCGTTATTCACCATCCATATACCTCAGGAGCTGACCATCTGTGACTGCAGTATTCCTTCCTTCTTTCATATTTATTTACTGAGCTGCTGTCTTACTGCTTTTTAGATGTTACTACCAGGCTCCTATTGTTGTTGTCGTCAGATGCCATTGAGTTGATTTTTACTCATATTGACCCCATGTGACAGAGTGGAACTGCTCTATAGGGTTTTCTAGGCTATAATCTTTACAGGAGCAGAGCGCTAGGTCTTTTTTCCATGGGCCTCTAAGTGGGTTCAAACTGCCAACCCTTCAGTTAGAAGACAAATGCTTAACTATTGCATATCCAGAGTTCCTTCCCAGGGTCCTAGTCACCATTATTTGCCTGGCTTTGTATGAGCAACACAGAAGCTGCTAACTGTGTAGGTTAGAAGAGTGGATCACCAAAAGCAGGGCTCCAGGAGTCTCCAGGTGAGACTTCAGAGCCTCTTTGGTGACCAATATAAAGAAACACTCTTTAAATATCAGAGCTTTCCAAACGTGGATGCTGCCAGTTGCCTCTGGAAGTAGCGAGTGGGTGGAAGCACCACAGATGTTCTGGCCCAAGGAGGATGCCGTCTTCTGGGTATGGTAGAGAGAACTCAAGCATCTGAAAAAGGCTGGTTAAACTAGTAGAGATGAAGCATCTTCCAAACCTGAGAACATGTCAGTCAGTGCTAAAAAGAATTTCTGGTCCCAGAGCCAGAGGCATAAAACCTTCTAACAGCACCAGACAGTCCACTTCACACTCTTTAAGTAGTTTCTGGGTCTTGTCAAAAGCTAAAGTTTTTTGGGTTTTTTTTTTTTTCCTCTTGGTCCTATTTCAGAAAATGGTTTCTAGTACATGTGAGTCCAAGCAAAGGGAATTGGCGTTGTATTTGGTGAAGCAAACCACTCTGAAGGAGGGAAAGCAGTTATGTTGCATGTTCTTGGAGTTCTGGGAGCCTCCTAACAGGCACTGGGGAGCTTTTCTGGGCTCCTTCCCTGTGCATGCACACACCCCAACCCCTAAGCCTTCCCCTCTGCTGGTGCTCAGGGGCTCCGGGTCTGTGATCCCTCTCTGAGGGCAGGGTTTAGAAAGAAGACCACTGCCATCTGTAAGCACTCTGCTCTGGTTTCTGCGCTAAGAGAGACGGCTGTGCAGCTCCGTGTGATGTGTGCCTTTTTCATCTCTATTAAATAAATAAATATAAAGAAAGGCCCGCTCCCTCCCACCCCTTTTCATTAAAAAGGAACAGATGTGGGGTCTCTCAGACAAGACAGCTGGGTCAGGTCATATCAAATAGTGTGCTTATTTTCTCAGAGTCTGATCGCATTTCTTTACCTTTCTCTCTGTCTCCCTTCCTCTCTTTCAGCAATGAAGTGGTGAGGAGTGACTTGAAGAAGCTGCCAGCTCTTCCCACCCAAGCCCTGAAGGAGCACCCTTCCCTGGCCTACTGGTATGCACTTCCCTTTGCACAGTTCAGGCATCCCCTCCCAGAGCTAGCCTCTGGGGGATAGGGGTGCCTGGGGCTCTGGGCAACTGAATCTAACCTTTCCCAACTACCCTTGTGTCAGCCAGGACAATGAGCTGCTTGCCCTGCCCTGCTCAGAGAGCTAAAGAAAACAAAAAACAAACTTACTGCCCTCGAGTCGGATCCGACTCACAGCAACCCTGCCTTGGGTTTCCGAGTAGATTGCCCAACCTTCCTTCCAAGGAGTGGCTGGTGGGTTTGAACCGCCAGCCTTCTAGTTAGCAGTCAAATGCCTTATGCTACCAGAGCTCCTAGAGAGCTACTTCAGATGGAATTAAGTAACTAGATTGGGCAATCTACTTCTGTAGAGATACCGTGTCGGAAACCCAAGCAGGGGTCACTATGAGTCAGATCCGACTCTCCAGAGTCGGATCTGACTCTGGGGCAGTGAGTGATGCCTTCGTGAATTGGAGTCCCCGGGTGGTGCAGATGGTTAAGTGCTTGGCTGCTAATTGGAAGGCTGGATGGTCAGGTCCACCCAGAGGTGCCTCAGAAGAAAGACCTGAGGATATATTCTGAAAAAAATGAGCCAATGAAAACCCTGTGGAGCACAGAATCCCATGAGTCAGAATCAAGTCAGCTGTAACTGGTGGTGGTGATGGTTCCTTCATGAAATTGTTTCTGCATTTATTTAAATTACCCATTGTGTGAGACCTTTCCCTTTTCTGTTTTCTTTCTTTTTTGTAAAAAAATAAAATCTTCTGAAGTTTCACTTTGGAAGCATTGCCTCCTTGGAGAGCCTTTCATCTGCAGCTAGAGTTTCATTCTGGAATCATTGTCATTTGATGACAGTATGTGTGAGGTTTTGTGATGTGGGAGAACTGAGAACTGCAGGTTTCTCTCTCTCTCTCTCTGCAAAAGAGAGAGATTGATTCTTTCATTTTCCCACAATGTGTCATAGCTCCTGATTTAGCTGCTATGCAGCGTTATGCTGGAGTTCGTCTGTCGGGCTCCAAATTACTGATTCTGAGTGGATTCAGGCATTAGAAAGGCTCCCAGATTGTGGTTTCGGTCACAGTGTGGCAGGGCTTGCATTCCTGGGTAGAGTGTGGAAACCTGCTGGGCTCCTAAACCTCCACCGATTGATCCTTTGAAAAGCACAGAGCTGCTTCCCTAGGACCCCTTCAGACTCCTTAACAAAAATCTTGATAACTACTTGTATATTAGAAACAAACAAACTTAGAACAAGTCGATCCTGATAAACTACGGTGACTCTTGAAGAAGTCTGTGTAGACTTTATGAAATGTAGGAATTAATAATATTGCATCTTGTCTAGACACTCTTCAAGTCAGCAAACTCGTTTTTCTGTCATTCAGGTGGCTTTAAGAGAGTCCCTGGTTAAGACAGGGCATGTCGGGATGCAGAGTTCATTAGCAGGATTAAACGTCAACTCATAAATCATTTCTCCCTAAGTGAGTACAGTGACGGAGAAACTGAGCTAAGAGCAAGGGAGGTGGGTCCTGAGGCCGAGAGCTCTTTTCAGTGTGTTGACATCCCTAATTTCATCTCTGTGCTGTTTTATTGACACTCTTCTTTCAGTAACATAGATATAGATAAATAATGGTTTTATGTAATTATAGTCTTCCCCCAAAGAGCAAAATCTGTTTAACCTCTAAGGGATTTTGCATGTAGCAGCTTCCAGACTTCCAGTCTTATAGTCCGTGCACATGAACACAAAAAATCGCATTCCTCTCTCCTTGTTTATGGTGCCCGACTACCCACTTCTCCAGTGCTTCAAGATCTCAGGGCCTTATCTTCTATATCCTCCCACTTTTTACTTTCAGGAAACCAAAAGTGAAGGAGATAGGATATAAGAAAGTAACTCTGACACCAAGAGTTCCTCTAGGACGAGAATGTATTTGCCACCAAGGGCTGTATAATTGGTGGGTTGTGTGGAGTCAGAGTTGCCTTTATCCTAATCCATCCCCAGCTATCTCTTTGTTCATTTGGTTCCAAGCATATTTTACACCTCTCTGCTCATTTCAGAATTAGGAACTCCTCCTCTACTCTGTCTGTCTCTGTACATTTTTCTTTCATCTCCACAATCTACTCTGTGCTCACACACTATAGAGTTACTGTAAGTCAGAATCAACTCCATGGCAACTGGTTTGGGTATTTTTAATGTAAAAAAAAAATTTCTCATTAATAAACATGAATGTCCCCATCTGCATCCATATCTGTAACTGCCTTACCAAAGCATCCCTCTGCCTTGGTGACCAGGCCAACATGTTCCCTTTACCTCATTTAGACCTATTAATAGCAATAAACTAAACCAAACTCACTGCCGTGGAGTCAGATCTGACTCATAGCAACCCCTCCTTAGGTTTCTGAGGCAGTGTCACAATGGAAGTAGATCACCCAATCTTCCTTCCAAGGAGCGGCTGGTAGATTTGAACTGCCAGCCTTCTGGTTAGCAATCAGATGCCTTAGGCACTATGTCACCAGAACTCCATTAATGGTGATACCACTATCTAAATGCTCTTAGGGGGTGATAGGACAGAGGGACCTTTTTGAAGTAGATCCCTTAAACTTCACAGGCAAGATTATGTACAAAGAAGTCAGCAACATGAACCGTCCTGATGATGCATTCCTAATCTGTGTGTGTGTGTTTGTTTGTTTGTTTGTATGTGCCTTTCATTTTATTTCACTGTGATTAGCTAGTGTTCAATATTGCAGCCTCTTTGCCTGGAGATATATATATATATATATATATATA